GAGAATAGGTTTAGTCCACAAGACTTACGAAATTCATTAATGCTTAAAAGATACCAAAAATTGTTTTTGAATAGAAAAAAAATATGGTGCTTTGTTTCTTTCATTTCTTCAAGAAACCGAGTTGGAACTTATTGCGTGCTCAGTTGTATTTGCTTCTTTGTGACACTACGAACTGTAGCCCGGCAGGCTCCTCTGTCCATGGAATTCTCCAGGCAGGAATACTGGAGTGGGTTGCCATTTCCTCCTCCAGGGGATCTTTCCAACCCAGCCATTGAACCCGAGTCTCTTGCATGTCCTGCATTAGCAGGCAGATTTTTTACCACTGAGCCACCTGTGAACTGGAACTTATTACTTATAATAAAAATGTTTTATGCCATTTTTGGAAATGCGCATGTATTTATTTCTCATATTTTAGTTATAAAACTTATTCTTTTGGAGAGAGAAAGCAAACATTTGAGAAATAGTTACCATATTATACACAATCCTTCTAGTTCCTGGTACACTGAACATTAAGGTTGATATTATGTTTACAGTGAATATTAAATAGATTTATTTTGAAGAAGCACTGTATTCAGAAAATAACAAGTGTTGAAGATGATATGGAGGAACTAGAACAGTCATACATTGCTAGTAGGAATGTAAGATACACAATCACTTTGCAAACAGCTAATTTCTTAAAAAGCTAAACATAAATTTAACACATGACTCAGCAATTCTGCATTTTAAGTCTGAATTTTGCAATAAGGAGTTCATGATCTGAGCCACAGTCAGCTCCTGGTCTTGTTTTTGCTGACTGTATAGAGCTTCTCCATCTTTGGCTATATAGAATATCATCAGTCTGGTTTCTGTACTGACCATCTGGTGATGTCCATGTGTAAAGTCTTCTCTCGTGTTGTTGGAAGAGGGTGTTTCCTATGACCAGTGCATTCTCTTGGCAAAACTCTATTAGCCTTTACCCTGCTTCATTTTGTACTCCAAGGACAAATTTGCCTGTTATTCCAGTTATCTCTTGACTTCCTACTTTTGCATTCCAGTCCCCTATAATGAAAATGACATCTTTTTTGGGTGTTAGTTCTATAAGGTCTTGTAGGTCTTCATAGGACTGTTCAACTTTAGCTTCTTCAGCATTACTGGTTGGGGCACAGACTTGGATTACTGTGAAATTTAATGGTTTGTCTTGGAAACAAACAGAGATCATTTTGTCATTTTTGAGATTGCACCCAAGTACTATATTTCATACTCTTTTTTTGACTATGTGCTACTCCATTTCTTCTAAGGGATTCTTGCCCACAGTAGTAGATAAAATGGGCTCCAAAATCACTGCTGATGGTGACTGCAGCCATGAAATGAAAAGACACTTTCTCCTTGGAAGCAAATCTATGACCAACCTAGACGGCATACTAAAAACCAGAGACATTATTTGGTCAACAAAGGTCCATCTAGTCAAAGCTATGGTTTTTCCAGTAGTCATGTATGGATGTGAGAGCTGGACTATAAAGAAGGCTAAGCACCAAAGAATTGATACTTTTGAACTGCGGTGTTGGAGAAGACTCTTGAGAATCCCCTGGACTGCAAGGAGATCCAAGCAGTCAATGCTATAGGAAATCATCCCTGAATATTCATTGGAAGGATTCACGCTAAAGCTGAAACTCTAATACTTCGGCCACCTGATGTGAAGAACTGAGTCACTGGAAAAGACCCTGATGCTGGGAGAAACTGAAGGAAGGAGGAGAAGGGGATTACTGAGGATGGGACGGCTGGATGGCCTCACCAACTTGATGGACATGAGTTTGAGTAAGTTCCAGGAGTTGGTGATGGACAGGGAGGCCTGGCGTGCTGCAGTCCATCGGGTCGCCAATAGTTGGACACGACTGAGTGACTGAACTGAACTGAGCAATTCTATTGCTGGGTATAAACCCCAAAGCAAGGACAAAAACTTGTCCATATAGAGACGTCCATTGGAATGCTCATAGTAGCATTGTTCCTAACAGCCCAAAAGTGGAAAGAACCCAAAAGTTCATTAACTGATGAATGGATAAACAAAATGTGGAGCATTGTTATGAAAAAGAGGAAAAAAGAATTGATATACACTACAACATGGATGGACCTCAAAAACTATGCTAAGTGAAAGATGTCAAGCAGAAAATAACACATATTGTATGGGTCTATTTAAGTAAAATATCCAGAAGAGGCAAATCAAGGAAATTGAAAAAAGATTAATGGCTGTCTGGGGTTGGGGGTGGGCACAGGCTCTTTCTGGGGTAAAAGCAGTGTTCTAAAACTAGATTTTGGTGATGGTCACACAACTCTATAAATATATTAAAAATCATTAAATTGTACAAGTAAATTTATGATAAATAATGCTTTTTTTAAATTAAAAAAAAAAAACCCATATATAAGGTATTCCCACCTTACAGATGAGACATGTGAGGACAAAAGATATCTCATAATTTGCTCAGGGCAATGAAGCTAGTAAATGGCAGAGCTTAAATTCCAGAGCCAGGGAACTTTTAAACCCCAAGTCAATCTCTCTCTAATATAAACACCTGGCACTTATTAATTATCAGTGCCCACATGAAAACCTGTGTTCAATCAGTTCAATCAACATCATAAGAAAGAGAAAAGTGGTCCAACAATTTTTGCTACTTTGCTTGCCTGAGTGAAAGATTTGTTTTACTTCACTAGTTTGGATCTAACTAGATAGACAGTATGCTAAAATTCTTACTACCCCTATGTGATTCACTCAGCAAATATTTGGTGACTAAATACTACTGCAGCCACCAGGGCAGATATGACTGAGAAACTGAGAATCACTCAACTTGGCCACCACTCAGTACGCAGTGGGTTATAGGGTTGAATTTGTAGATGCGGTATCTTTACACTGATATCATAGTCAATATTTAAGTATGTGGGGCTTCCCTGGTGGCTCAGTGGTAAAGAATCCACCTGCAATGCAGGAGACATGAGTTTGATCCCTGAATCAGAAAGATCCCTTGGAAAAGGAAATGGCAACCCACTCCAGTATTCTTGCCTAGGAAATCCTATGGACAGAGGATTTGTGGCTACAGTGGCTACAGTCCGCAGGGTCACAAAAGAGTCAGACACAACTTAGCAACTAAATGATGACAATAACAAATTCAAGTATGTAAGGGTACTGTGGTAACAATGGACTACCTGTCCTAAGGATAAGCATAGATTCTTAGAAACATACATCGCTAAAGTATAAATCCTTCACATTAAAAAGATAAATTGAGGAGATAAATCTATGGCTCAAGAAGATAGTATATGTTGTAAAATTACAACATATATCCCAAAGTACCAATTTATAGATTGAGAAGTAAGAGAAATCCTACAAAAAATTTAGGTACTACATGATATCACCTTACTTCCAGGTGGCTCAATGGTGAAGAAATTGCCTGCCAATGCAGGAGACACAGGTTCCATCTCTGGGTCAGGAAGACCCCCTAGAGAAGGAAATGGCAACCCACTCTAGTAGTCTTGCCTGGAAAATCCCATGGACAGAGGAGCCTGGTGGGCTACAGTCCACGGGGTCACAAGCAGTTGGACCCGACTGAGCACACATGCATCTGTACAAGATGTTACCTCAGGATGAGACTAGATTACAGATTATCTATTTAGTAACTTTACAGGTAGGTTAAACGAGTCTTTAAACTGAGTCTACTGCCTCAGTACCAACTTTCTAGAATAAGTATATTGAAAGTAAAACACTTCTTGGAGACAGAAAAGATAGCTCTAAAATTGAAGGCAGCATGTGACTGACAGTGACAAAAAGAGACATAAAATCAGGGGTAGGGTAGAGGAAGGGATCATATACTTTCTGATCCTGTTTATGCAAAATATCCGGAAAAGGCAAATCTTTAGAGTCAGAAAGTAGATTAGTGGTTGCCGAGGGCTGGTTGGAAGAATGGGGAAATTGTGAGGATGCTAAAGGGAATTTGGTTTCTTTACAGGATAATAAAAATGTTCATAAATGACTGTGGTGATGGTTGCGGAACTCTATGAGTAGACTAAAACCCATTTTTTTTTTAAACTTTAAATGGTTGACTTGCATGGTATGTGAATTATATCTGTGTGATATATGTGAATTACACAGCTCTTACAAAAGAAGGGACTTGGGGATATGTGAGATCCACTGTAATATGTGGGCATTATTTGGATTCTAATTAAAATAAATATACTGTCAAAACAAAATAAAACATATTTATGGGATAGCTGGAAAAAACTGGGAGTGAAACAGGGTTAAAAACATATTTTAGGTCATTGAGTTTATTGATCTAATTCTTCAATTGGCCAAGAACCAGAACAAGAACACTAGAGAGGCTGTTTGGTAAATCAGCTCATTCCATATACCAAAACCACACTGAGACTAAAATCTACTTAAATATGGATAAATATATTAAAATCTATAAAATAACCACATGCAAACATTCTGTCAATATCTACACATTCTTTTACACCAGACATCTGTCATACAGATTTAAAAAGCAATGGCATTTTCTAAGAACATTTACAGGATGAGTGTTCTCTCTAAGTCAAGTGTATGATACTTTAAGGTATGTTTCACAACTTACAATTTCTTACAGACAAGTATGTTCTAAATGTACACTATTTTGTTTTGAATATTTTATGAGTGAAGAAAGAGAACAGACACAGCCAGTAGACAAAAATAAGGAACAGGCATTAATGTCAAGCATTTTAGAATATGTTGCATTAGTCAACAGATGCTCATCTGATTGGCTTCTCCTAAGGGAGCAAAAATAACTGAATTACCATTCCTTTATTAGTCCTCATGAAAGGAAAATCCACTTTACAATAAAGAACACTGTCTAAAGACAATTGTAAAATCCTTTTTCTCAAAAAATTAACCTTGTATTAATAGATGTTAAATGAAAATTTGTTAATAGCTAAAAACATAATAAAACTACAGAATATTTTTTACTTCCTTGTGACTGATCAAGAAAAAACAAAATTGTTCTTACCATCCTGTTGATTCGTACAAAGTCTTCAGGTTTTTTTGCCCAAGGGGGAAGATCAACATCATTTACCACCACTTCATCTTCTCTGACTCCAAGATTATATCCATTACTGTTGACAAACATCTCCGGAAGGTAATAGAATTCTGGAATTAGTTCCTGCCAGGAATAAAAAATGTAGAATATTAAACCACTTTAAAAATCAGTTGAACAGAAGTATTAACTTATAAAAACTATATAACAGAATTAATTTCTTCACTTAAATCCAGTATTTTATTACTTGATTCTATTCTTCATTTAATTTTCTTCAGATAAGAGCCTAAGAAAAGAAGATATTTTTCTTCCACAATATGCTTGACAATTTATAAGATTTTCAGTCTCATCTTGCCACAGATTACTTAAGAGAAATGGGTTACAGAATCAACAATAGTTCCCAACAGTATTAGTAAACAAGTATATAAAGCTGTATCTATAAGTCTATGCTGTTCAACACTTTTCTACTTTCTTTTTGACTCCACTGGCAATTATAATACATGATGTTCATGAACAGACTCAGAGTTCCATTTTATAATTTGGCAAAATATATTATTTTTATACCTACCACTAAAGAAAATTAAGAGACAATGCAACATAATAAGTTTTATATATTCAGTACATGCCACTTGAGTAGTACATTCTTAAGTTGAATGCAAAGACAACTTGTGTTACTTAGTGTATGTACATACGACATTAACAATTGGGTTCAAGGCAAACTTGTGTTTGATGCACAATGTCTAGTATGTGGTTTGTGTAAATTTAGAATAAATATGCCACAGAAACTGATTTCACAACCTTAAAAATTTTAGTTGTCCTTTCTTTTAAAAAACAACTGCAGGAAATGAAAACGAAAAACTACAGTTTTTATGTATACTATCAAAAACATGAAAAATACTAATCTTTACAAATATCAAGATGAGGGTTAAATTAACTTTATACTGTGAAAATTATAAGAACATTTATTTGAGTAACATGTCCAACATGGATGGCATAGTAACCAAAATTTGAATCTCACTATGGATACACAGGGATGCATAAAAACATTAAAAAACCCAAACCCCCCCAAGCCACAAAAAGGAAAATAAAAACCCCACAAAACAAAGCAAGCAAGCAAGCAAACAAAACAGAACAGACTCTGAGGTCTTCAAATAAACTGGATTCCTTAGCCCAAGAAATGCATACACATAAGCATTCTCTCTATGGATTCTCATACTAAAACCAACATTTATCTGCTACAGCATAACAGAGTTTTCATGTGAGCAAATCCTCTGTGAGAAATCGATCCTTATCCATTCTTATGATGATAAATGTGAACCATAAGAAAGACACAGTAATGTTTATTTCTCCAGCATTATGAGAGTTTGAACAGATTCACATAAATGAATTTCCTTTATAAGCAGAGCTTAGCCTTTTAAGAATCCATTTCTTCCATTTAAACCATTTAAACAGAAATCTCCAAAACCCATTACATAATCCCCAATATTTATTTATTCACGTAGTAAAGTTTGAATGCCAGACACTGTGATGGGTACTAAGAAAACAAATAATGAACAGACACGGCCTCACCATTGAGTGAGTCATATTCTGGCCTGTGGGGCAGATACATGAAGTGGTGGTCACAATACACAATAATAATGAAAGAAGTACAAACAAGGCACAAGCGGGCAGGAAGGATAGAGCAGGAAACTCTGGGCAAGTCAGAAAAGATTACACTGGAGATCGGACATTGAGTTTGATAAAGATGGAGGAAGGGGCAGGAGGACCAGCAGAGAGTACTGCCAAGGAGGCAGGAACTGAGTATGGGTAGAGTGTAGGATATACTAGGGGACAGATCAAGATGGGGGATGCGGTACACGGAGTCAGATGAGGAAGGAAGTTTTATGTCCACCTAAGCTGTTTGGATTTTGTATTGCAATAATTTTAAAGAAGAGCTATTGCCAAGGTTACGTCTGTTTCAAGGCAAGACGCTAAGAGTCAAAGTAAAGAATAAAGGTGGAGAGGAGGGAGCTCAGGCATATAAAAAGGTATATAAAAAGGGTGGCTCAGACTGTAAAGAATCTGCCTGCAGTGCAGGAGACCGGGGTTCAATCCCTGGGTCTGGAAGATCCCCTGGAGAAGGGAATGGCTACCCACTCCAGTATTCTCGCCTGGAGAATTCCATGGACAGAGGAGCCTGGTGGCTACAATCCACGGGGTCACAAAGAGTTGGATAGGACTGAGCGGGCTAACGCTTTCACTGTTTGAGAAAATGTGGGAAATTAGTTCAAGATGTAGAACACTGCTATCTGAACGTTACCCGTTTTATATATGATACAGAGGAGAAGGAGCCTCCCAAATGGTCCCCAATGGGGAGAGGAATGAAAGCTCACACAGTTGCTCCATGTAGAGGGTGATTTATATGTAAGAGGATCACATAAGTCAGGAATTTCCCTTCTGTCTTTTGTTGGATGTTTGTGTTCATGTTCTGTGTCCAGAACTAGACTACATAAGCTTTCTTAAGGACCAAGAGGGATATGCAGTACATCCACATGGATATGGCAACATGATTTATTTTTTTATTTAGACCGCCCAAAGAGTTTCAGTTTATCTTCAACTGTCTCTGTGCTCTCGTGTTTTTCATACATATTATTTCCCATTGTTTCCTGTGGAATAGGGTCATAAAAAAATATGGTTATCATTAACCTACTTGCCTCTGTAATACTATTTAATATTTCACTGAATGTCACTCAATTATATCTGCAAAGGCATAAGAAGCCTAGGACTTTATATTCATAACAATTTGGGCAAAGCAGATTTTGAGCCTAATGTTGTGAGGTTTATATTTTGTTGAATCCCCCACAGCTTTTGGAGCTATACTCTGTACACAGCAGGTGCTCATTAAATATTAAACTATAGAAGATGCTAGACAAAGTTATTTTAATATCACTAGAAATCCTCTGGGGAACATGCAAATGGTTGGAAGAATGCTTCAAGATAGGAAAAAAGCCAATGGAGTACTCGATTAAACAAAAGAAAAAATAAAATAAAATCTGCACCTCCTGATAGGAAACTTTTGAAGCTTAAAAAACGTTACCTTGTTTATTTTAGTTATGCTGAAAGGTTCAGAAGTGGACAAGAGTCCAGTTTAAATTTAAGAAAAGTTGGTTTTAACAATGCCAGGAAAGTTGTAGCCAATCTGAAGAAGTGGAGGACCAGGTCCTTTTCATTTTAATGTGAGCACTCCAGAAAGAATGGGCTGGAAGCTGGCTGCCACCAAAGAGAACAAAGTGAGGCTGAGGAACCTCCACCCTGATGGTTATTTAGGGAGGGTTCAACAGGAACACTTGGGAAGGCTTGAATTGTGGCCAGTCATGAAAAAGTAGGGTCATCAGGGCCTTTGGGATGATCCTTAAGTGAGACATTTTCTCCACTCTGGTCCTCATCTGGCCGACCAGACCATGGTCATAAATTAGGGTGTTAACTAAGATGTTGGTGTAAGCTCTTGGTGGCTTGATGTTTGACAGGATGAAGAAAACCTCCCTGAATCACTGTGCCAGTTACTTTTGGTTTTTTAGGATGCAGATTTAAAAAAAAACAAAAAACACAGGCACATTTTAAAGCAATATGAAAAATTCCTGAGGCACAGCATATTTGCAAAGCCTTGAAGCTCCAAAAGACCAAAGTTGCAGAGCTGGGGAAATTTTTTTTTTCTTTTCTTTTTTTTCCTGAGGGGAAGAAAGAGAGAGTGAACCACAAAAAGTCTAGGGAGAAGTTGCCGAAGTAGCTGAGTGGGTGCAAGTTTTTATGCCTCGATTTTATTGTTTTAAAATCTTGTTTCAAACAGCATTTTGATTTTAAATTTAATATGTAAATATGAGGCATTTGTACATAATTTATGCTCACATTTATATTGCTTAAAACATTTGTTTATTTTTAAAAATTTCATGAATAAGAGAGTTTCATCGCTGAGATTCAAATGTTAGGTCCAAGAAGATAATAATCACTATGTCTGGGCTCCAAGACAAGCAAAGAGCTGAAATGTCACATCTGGTCATTCAATCTTGAAACAGCAGGAATTATCATTTGTATCTTACTGTGTCATGCACTGTTCTAAGAACTTCACATCTTTCTCTTAATCTTCACAAAATCTTCCTAAGGCAGGTATCCTCGTTCTTCCCACTTCGTAGAAATGAACATTGAAGTTAAGTGACTTGCTAATAACTATACTGCAAATAGGTGATAAAGAGAAGCCAAGCCCAAACACTTTAGATCCAGGTCCCTGCGCTTACATTCTGTTTTTCCTTTTAAAGCAGTAACGACTCAGTATGACTTCATTCTGTTTTAATTTTCTGTGTAGCAAGTCTCCTTTTATTTCTTTTTTTAAAAATTTACTTATGCTCCCGAGTCCTACTGTGATGGAAATTCCATAGACAAGGATCTTGTCTCTCTTGCTCACCTGTTCACCACTGACTTGTAAGAATGGCGCCTGGCGTATAAAAATGGTACTCATACATATATGTGGAATGAAAAATTAATAGATCATTGCGCTATGCTCATTAAATCCTGAATTTCTGCCATGAAATAGTGGTAAAAAGTTTTGAAAGCTGTGGTTTTCAAACTGTGTTGGTTAAAGCAGTCACCTGAGGGCTACCAGCCAGTTGCAGTGAAAGGGAAGGCTGGCAGGCTGGCGGTGTGGGGACTGTCCCTTCCAGTGGGAGGTGTGACTTTCTGTGCATTGGGATCAAATCATTCTGAGTTGAGATCCAGACTTCTTGCCAGCCTGGGAAAGTTTCTTAAGCTTTAAGAAAAAAACAGTTCTTGATATACAAAATTGTGATGGTGACAGCAACTAAATCACAGTTCAGATGTGAGGACTAAATGTGTGCAACAACACATTTCATAGCTTTATGCAAAACACATTTTTGAAGCTACTCACTCAGTTGATAGTTTATCCAGTATCAAAGTATATCCTGTAATCAGGTTTTTTTTTTTTTTAAAGCTCTGTCACTTTGGATATTTATGTTTGAATGGATATCTATGTAGACATTTCAGATGATTTAAACATTTTCATCAAATATATAGACTAACTTATATGTTACCTAAGCTAAGCAGATATATAAGTTACTTGCACTTAAGATTTTGGT